TAGTAGTAGTAGTCGTATGTTCATGTAGTATGTAGTATGTAATATGTAGTAGGTAGCCTGTCGTATGTAGTAGTAGTAGTAGTAGTAGTAGTAGTCGTCGTCGTAGTCGTAGTCGTAGTCGTAGTCGTAGTAGTAGTCGTAGTCATCGTAGTAGTAGTAGTAGTAGTAGTAGTAGTAGTAGTAGTAGTAGTAGTAGTAGTAGTAGTAGTAGTAGTAGTAGTAGTAGTAGTTTGTAGTAGTAGTAGTAGTAGTAGTAGTAGTAGTAGTAGTAGTAGTAGTAGTAGTAGTAGTAGTAGTAGTAGTAGCAGTGGTAGTAGTAGTAGTAGTAGTAGTAGTAGTAGTAAGAGTATAGTAGTAGAGGTAATAGTAGTAGTAGTAGTAGTAGTGGTAGTAGTAGTAGTAGTTTACTTAGTAGTAGTTAGTAGGTAGTTATAGTAGTTGTAGTTGTAGTAGTAGTAGTAGTAGGATAGGTGTAGGTGGAGGAGTAGGAGTAGGAGTCTCGTAGTAGAGTAGTAGTAGTAGTGGTCAGTAGTTGTTGTAGTAGTAGTTGTCGTGTTTGTAGTAGTAGTGAGTTAGTCAGTAGTAGTAGTTAGTAATACTAGTAGTGTAGTAGTTTGTCGTAGTTGTAGTAGTAGTTTCGTAGTATAGTAGTAGTAGTAGTAGTTGTAGTGTAAGTCGTGAGTCGTAGTTGTAGTTGTAGTTCAGTCGTAGTACGTAGTAGTCGTGTAGTAGTCGTCGTCTTAAACTAGTAGTAGTGTAGTAGGAGTAGTAGTGGAGTAGTAGTAGTAGTAGTGTAGTAGTCGTAGTAGTAGTAGTAGTGTAGTCGTAATTGTAGTAGTAGTAGAGTAGTAGTAGTAGTAGTAGTTAGTTAGTAGTAGTAGTTAGTAGTAGTAGTAGTAGTAGTAGTTGTAGTAGTAGTAGTAGTAGTAGTAGTAGTAGTCGTAGTAGTAGTAGCAGTAGTAGTAGTAGTAGTAGTGAGTAGTAGTAGTAAGTAGTAGTAGTTAGTTAGTAGTAGTTAGTAGTTAGTAGTTAGTAGTAGTAGTAGTAGTAGTAGTAGTAGTAGTAGTAGTAGTAGTAGTAGTAGTAGTGGTGGTAGTAGTAGTAGTAGCAGTAGTAGTAGTAGTTAGTAGTGGTAGTAGTAGTAGTAGTAGTAGTAGTGTAGTAAGTCGTTTATAAGGAGGAGGAGGCAGGAAGGAGGAGGAGGAGGAGGAAGGAGGGGAGGAGGAGAGGAATAGGGAGAGGAGGAGGGCGAGGAGGAGGAGGAGGAGGAGGGGAGGAGGATGGAGGAGGAGAGGAGGAGGAGGATGTTGGTGGTGGGGAGGAGGAGGAGACGGAGGATGAAGCAGGCGGGGGCGAGAAGGGAGGAGGAGGAGGAAGAGGAGGATGAGGAGGAGGTGGAGGAGAAGGAGGAGGAGGAGGAGGAGGAGGAGGAGGAGGAGGTCGAGGATCGAGTCAGGGCACGTCCCCGGAGCGGTGGATGTGGACATCTTCTGGCGGCGCGCCTCAGCGGGGCCAGCCGCGGCGCCGGGCCGCGGCCGGCGGCCGAGGGCAGCTCGCCCGCGGGCGCCGCCGTCTACGGCGGCCTTCGCTGCCCGGTGCCCCTCGGCGGCGGCTCCGTCCCGGGGGCGGCCAAGAAGAGGGGCGATGACCAGCCCTGAGATCCTAGTGTCCCAATGTTTCCGAGCGGGGACCTTCACAGGTCGATTTGGCTCGAAAAGTAGCGCAGGGAGGCAGGGTCTAGGCTCTGGGCGTACCTTTTGGATGCTGCAATGTTTTGGCCACGTCGGGTCTCAGGGAAGAGAGGGGTGATGACAAGGGGGCGTGGGCGGATATCATGGCGGGGGACATGGTATGTCCCCGTTGGAGGTCTGGGCCCCTCGTGTGGCCTCGCACGGGCCTCGGGCCCCGCCGGCGGCGCGGGGCCGGCCTCTGGCTGCCCATGCTCAGCGTGGGGGAAGCTGGCCTCTGGAGACTGCGCCTGCCTCGTCATGTAGGACGGCGACGGCGACGGCGACGGCGACGGCGACGGCGATGGCGACGGCGACGGCGACGGCGACGGCGACGGCGACGGCGAAGGCGACGACGACGACGACGACGACGGCGACGGCGACGACGACGACGACGACGACCACGACGACGACGACGACGACGACGACGACGACGACGACGACGACGACGACGACGACGACGACGACGACGACGACAGCTCGCCACTCGCCGCCTCGCCTCGGAGAAGCTCCGCGCTGCTCCCGGGCAGGCCTCGCTGCCCGGCGAAGAGGCTCCCGGGCAGGCTTGGCTCCCCAGACGTCAGGGCGCCTCTTCTGCACTCCAGTGCGCCCCCCAGACCCCCCCCTCGGGCTGCGCACGCGCCGGTGCCTCGCTCTGCGCCCTCCCCTCGTGGACGCCGCCCTCCCTGGCCGCCCCCCCGCCGTCGCAGCCTTCCTGGCGGAGTTCGGCTTCTCGGCCCTGGACGCGGACACGTGGAGGTCCCGCGGGCGAAGGGCCTGCGGCCGGGTGCTCTTGGATACGGCGTGTCGCGCCGCCAGCTCTGGCCCACCGCGCTCTGGAGCCACGCGCTGCCCACTGCCCGGCTCCTGGGCGTCGACGTCGCGAGTCTTTTCCCGAGCCTCCCGCCCCGCGGAGCGGAGCGACGAGCTATCCGCTCGCAGGGCACGGCGCAGCATGCCGCCGGGGCCGCCGTGGCGACACGCTAAGCAAGAGTTGCCGGCCGCATCCGTATCCGCGTCCTCACGGGCCTGGCCCCTGGGCCGTGTCCCTGTGGATGTGGAGCGCTCTTTCGCGGTTGGCCCCCCGCGCGGAGCGCGTTCGTGCGCCCGCGTGCCTGCGGGAGATCGCACCCTGGAGTCCAGACCGTGAGGACGCGGAGAAGGGCCCCGTCATGTGGCGCTCCCGCGTCTTCGGTGCGTGGACCCCAAGAGGTCTGGACAACTTCCCCCATGGCCAGTTTTCCCTCCCGGGTCGTTTCCTGACGGTCCCAGGGCCCGAGGAGGGCCCCAGCCGAGAAAATAGCCCCACACCAGCCGCTCCCACGTTTTGGGACCCTCGGATCTCGGGGGTCCGTGCGCCGCTCGTCCGAGGCGGGGATTTATCCATGGCCACCGCCTGGGGGATCGGTATGGTCGCGGACCCCCACAGGCTGTGGATGGGGATCGGGTCGTGCCCCCGGGGGCCACAGTAGACCCATGTCCAGCGCCCGCTGGGGCACCAGGGCGCCGGTTCCCAGGCGGTGGATACAGGGCATCGCTCGGACGTGTGCATTTTCCCTTCGGCGAGGATCGAGGAGCATCCTTGATCATTTGGCGAAAAAACCACGCACGAAACCGAACAAAAACACAGGGAGGGACGTCCGAGCGATGGCGAGGATAGGGCTAAGTCCCCGCCCCGCAGCTCGCGCGAGAGGTCCCCGGAGGCGCTGCCGCGCCTCGCCGTGAGCGTGTGCGGCCACGAGGTCGGCGCGGACCTGCACCGGGCCTACGTGCTGGACGTGCACCTGGAGGCCGAGGGCCGGGGCCAGGTGTCCTGGCAGGCCCCGCGCACGCTGCTGTGCCTGCGGGAGGACCTCCACGACCCGGTGAAGGAGGCGCTCGGCCCGGAGCGGTACGACGAGGCTCCGACGCAGACCACCTCGCGCTGTTGAAGAAAACACGGCGTGAGGTTTTTCGACACTTTCGGCTTCCGGGTGCCCTTGCAGGGCCTCGGGGCCGGCAGAAAACGACTCAGGACGAGAAGCCGGTCCCGGGGTCTGGGGGTCGACGCAGTGAAAAATCGTGACGTCGGGGGTCTGGGGAGGAGGGAGAGGTACCGACACCCTGCTGCCAGTCCATCGTTTTCGCCCTTCGTGGGCCTCCTGAGGCCCTCGCCGCCTCGGCTAGATTCGCGTCGAAGTTCTGCTCAGCACGCGCCCTGGGAGAGGTCACGGGGAGCAGCGGTATCGGTATACTTTCTTATCTCAGACATGCGACATCCCGATTTCTTCAGCGCGGCGTCCCCAGACGCCCCGGCCCTCTCTCCCCAGCACCAGCTCTTCATCCCGAGTCGTTCTTCTGACGGTCCCGGGCCTGGCGAGGGCCCCCCATGTGGGCCGAAACAAGCGAGAAGCCGCCCGCCCTGAGTTTTGTTTTGTTATTGTTGTTATTGTTGCTATTGTTGTCGTCGTCGTCGTCGTCGTCGTCGTCGTTGTTGTTGTTGTTGTTGAACATTATTAATTCTAAAGAATAATTATTGTTGGGACCCCTGGTGCACGGCCCCCCTGCGCCGCCTAGGCCGCAGCTACATTTTCATCATTTTCGTGAGGAAGCCTCAGGTAATACGATGTCATCAAGATCCGGTTGTTTTGTTGTAATCCGTTTTCCCTTGCAAAAAACACTATAAAATGACATTTCTTGTTCTAATATAATCAAATTTCAAGAATCCCTTGCAAAAAATAAGGTAAAGTGGACATTCGCGCGCGCAAGACGAAATCCTTCCAAAAGCTTAGTGTTCGGAGCGATTTTAACATAAAAACATCAAAAAACCAATGGTTTTTCAACAAAAAAATGTCAAAATCTCATCCCGCGCGCTCTTGCGGATTCGTAGGAAACCCAACACTTTTTAAACATTTCTGTCAAACGGGCTTTTGCGAGCAACTTTTTCGAACTTCTGCGACAACGGTTGCGCACCTGCCAGGGCCATCATCCCTGTCAAATAATACCATGCGGGACACATTCGTTTTTTCTTCGCGCGCGCACGCCGAAATCTCCAAAAACCATTGGGTTTTTAAGAATTTTAGCACCGCGCATCATAAAATCACACGAATCGCACCGTAGGTCCTCGAAAAACACCTGCACGACTTTTCAAAATTTCTACCCGCGCGCGCTGTCCGATTCTACCCGAACGTAGGCTTAACAACTTCTGTGGGTGTGTACTCCACGCCAGTGTAGTAGCCACGGTCGTCCGCAGGCCACGAAGTGAAGTGTCCGAACGTCATAGGGCGGGAAGCTGGGTGTGGGTGGTGGCGAAGAGTCGTGTGGATATTTGGTAGAGCTTGCACTGCCCCCCCACAAAGTGGGGGTATTGGCTGGCGTCGCATGAAAACCCTGGCACTGGTGAGAACACTGAGCGTTCGGGTAAAGTGATTGTTGTTGTTGTTGTTGTTGTTGTTGTTGTTGAACCTTATTACTTCTAAAGAATAATTATTGTTGGGACCCCTGGTGCACGGCCCCCTCGCCGCGCCTAGGCCGCAGCCATGTTTTCATCATTTTCGTGAGGAAGTCTCCGGCAAAACGGGTTGGTCCGGATCCGGTTGTTTTGTTACGGGCGGTTTTCCCTTGCAAAAAATAAGGCAAAGTGGACATTTCTTGTTCTAACATAACCAAACTTCAAGAATCCCTTGCAAAAAATAAGGTAAAGTGGACATTCGCGCGCGCAAGACGAAATCCTTCCAAAACCTTAGTGTTCGTAGCGATTTTAACATAAAAACATCAAAAAACCAATGGTTTTTCAAAAAAAAGTGTCAAAATTTCATCCCGCGCGCTCTTGCGGATTTGTAGGAAACCCAACACTTTTTAAACATTTCTGTCAAACGGGCTTTTGCGAGCAACTTTTGTTGGGACCCCTGGTACAGAAACGGAAAAACGTCGTATCAGACGCTAGCGCCTCACCAGCCAAAGCAGTCCATATCATTGTAGGACCTACAGACAGTACCGGCGTCGTACTGGTTTACCGTGGTTTCCTATTCTAGCGTCAGGAACACGTTACCACCAAAAACCAGTACAGGTGTCCAGTGTTGGAACAGGGGGAAAAGTCGTATACTAAGCTAGCGTCCAGAAAATGTTACCACAACAAGTCACTGTACCCATGCGCCAGTGTAGTAGCCACGGTCGTCCGCAGGCCACGAAGTGAAGTGTCCGAACGTCATAGGGCGGGAAGCTGGGTGTGGGTGGTGGCGAAGAGTCGTTTGGAAATGTGGTAGAGCTTGAACCGGCCCCCCCACAAAGTGGGGGTATTGCGGGCGTCGTATGAAAACCCTGGCACTGGTGAGAACGGAGTGTCCCCACGTGCTAGTAATTGTTGTTGTTGTTGTTGTTGTTGTTGTTGTTGTTGTGGTTGTTGTTGTTGTTGCTGTTGTTGTGGTTGTTGTTGTTGCTGTTGCTGCTGCTGCTGTTGCTGTTGTTGTTGTTGTTGTTGTGGTTGTTGTTGTTGTTGTTGTGGTTGTTGTTGTTGTTGTTGTTGTTGTTGTTGTTGTTGCTGTTGTTGTTTGTTGCTGCTGCTGCTGTTGTTGTTGTTGTTGTTGTTGTTGTTGTTGTTGTTGTTACTGTTGTTGCTGTTGCTGTTGTTGTTGTTGTTGTTGTTGTGGTTGTTGTTGTTGTTGTTGTTGTTGTTGTTGTTGTTGTTGTTGTGTTGTCGTTGTCGTTGTCGTTGTCGTTTTTTTTTTTTTTTTTTTTTTTTTTTTTTTTTTTTTTTTTTTTTTTTTTTTTTTTTTTTTTTTTTTTTTTTTTTTTTGTGTTGTTTTTTGTTGTTTGTGTGTTTTGTTATCTGTCTTATTCGGTACGAGACGCATGAAGCAGCTTTTGTTTGACAAATGGCGCGATCGTGCCCGGGATCTCCCCAGAGGTCTTCGCGGGCTCGCGCTTCGCGCCCCGCGGCGGGCTGCCTGGCACCTCCGCGAGGCTGGACGCCTGGCTGCGGTCGCTCACGGCGTGCCTGAGCGCCGGCGGGCTGCCGCCCCGGGCGGCGGCCGTGCTGCTGTCGTTCCTGTCGGGCGCTCGGGCTGCCTCGATGCGCCCGTGTGGATGCGCAGCACGTGCCGTGCTCAAGAAGGTCCGTGTCGATGTGGGGCGTGTTGGCTCCACAGGTCGGCCCACGTTTTGGCCAACGTGCCGTGTCCGATCTAATTATGTGCTCGGTCCACGTGTCGAGCTCTGTATCAGTACGCTGCGTGTTGCGTGTGGTGTATCGGGGCAGCTAAGGTCGAGTGGCAGCCGCCAGAAGGTCGCCACTCGGGGGAGGAAGGGGTACCCACACCGCCACACTTTGCTCGTTCTGCCCTTCTTGGGCCTTCTGGGAGGCCCTCGTCGCCGCCGCTGGATTCGCCTCGAAGTCCTAATCAGAAGGCGCTCTGGGAGAGGTCCGGGGAGTGTATCTCAGCGGCGAGCGAGGGAGGAAAGTGAGAAGGGGCGGACCTTCTGAGAAGTTTTCTCAGCCTCCCCCGAAGATACAGGAAACTTTCCAGAAGGCCAGAGGGCTACTGAGAAGTCCCGCCGCCTTCTGAACATGCCTTCTCCTTCTCACTTCCCCTTGTCGCTCGATTCCGTACCCTTTGGTTTCCCCAAGAAGGTCTCCACGGGGGAGCCGGTGACGCTGTAGGGCCGGCCAGGAGCGAGGCGTCGCGAGGGGGCCTGGGCGCTGCACGCAGGCCGCCCACTCCGCAGGCAGGCCAGGCTGGCCTCAGCAGGGCAGGCTCGTGCTGGGGCGATCTCGGCGTGGGCGTTCAAGCCCAGAGATCCAAAGCATTTCGGCGGCGAGCGAGGGGGGGAAGTGAGAAGGACAAGGCCTTCTCAGAAGGCGGCGGGGCTTCTCAGAAGCCCTCGCGCCTTCCAGGAAATTTCCTGTGTCTTCGGGGAAGGCTTCGGAAACGTCTCAGAAGGCTGGGGGACTTCCGAGCCTTCTGAGAAGGCCTTCTCCTTGTCACTTCCCCCCAGGTTCGCCGCCGAGCGGCGATCTCGGCGTAGGCGTTCAAGTCCAGAGATCCAACGTATTGAAGAAGTCAAGGAGCTGGCTTTCGCTAGTTGCGGCCTCTAGAGACCCTCGCTGGGCCCTGTGGGACCGTCAGTAAACCACTCCGTATGAACAACTGGTCCCTGGGAGTGGGTCGAGACTTAACAAGACATCGGATATCTCGGAGATGAACGCAGATGTGGTCTGAGCAGATGGGGTTGAAGGATCGCGCCGCACCGCCGATACATCGGCGATGTGTCGCATTCCAGAATTCGTTTTCTCCGTCCCTGCGTCGCTGGTGCATCGGCGAGGCATTGTCGATGCGGTGCGGCCCTCCGACCCCTTCTCGGCCCTTCGTAGGACCCAGACATGCGATGCCACGGGCCCCTGGACGCTCCGATCTATCCCCCGGAACCAGCTCTTCATCCTGAACCGTTTTTAAGCGGTCCTGGGCCCCGGCGGGACACGGCCAAAGTCTTTTCCGTCGTGGTTTCTCCGCTGCGCATGTTTGCGGGTGCCTCCACGTAGGCCCCCAGGCCAGTACGGGAGCGGCGCCGCGGCTGCCGTCCAGCTATGGGGTTCCCATAATTCAACAATTCGGCAAAGGGGAATGATGGGACATCGGGGACTCGCGGCGTGGTCACCAAGTTTCCAGACATGCAAGTCCGAGTGAGTTATGGGAAGTCTGGAATCACCACAAAAAAGAGTTGTTGTGGTGATTCCAGGTTTCCCGCAATTCAGAATGATGGGAAACTGGGGATCAAGACAGAAAGGTTGTGTTTTGTGGTGAATCCAAGCTTCCCGCACTGCCGGATTGCGGGGAAATTTGGATTCACCACAAACGCATGTTTTTGCGGTGATTCCAGGTTTCCCAGAATTCCAAATTGTGGGAAATCTGGAATCACTACAACACAGATTGTGTTTTTTCTGGTGATTCCAGGTTTCCCGTAATTCCGACTTATGGGAAACCTGGAAGCACCACAACCAAAATCACGTTTTCGTGGAGATTCCTGGGGGTCCCGGAATTAGCTCAAACCGTTTTCTTTTTTCGTGGTGGTTCCGCTTTTCCATAATTCGCATTATTCAAGGGCAGAAAAAAAAACGCGCCTACCATGGTTTACGGGGCGCTGTGCGCTGAAACTCCTGTGGGCCGACAGGCCAAACCCTGCGTGATGTGCCGCGTCCTGGCGGCTCTAGGCTTTGGGAGTTCCCAGGAGGTTTACAGACCATGCACTTGTAACCCAGGGTAGGGTCGTCTTTTCATCCCTCAAATTATGGGATGTTTTGAACGGGAATTATGATAAACCTGGAATCGCCACGAAACCCGCCCTTTTTTTTCGTGGTGGTTCCAGGTTTCCCGTAGTTGAAATCCCTCAGCGGCCTCCCCCCTTGGTTTCCCGAACTTCTGTATTCGAATTGCGGGGAACCTTCCGCATTGCGGGAAACTGCCCCCCCCGCTTCCCCAAGTGAGGGGTTCGAATCATGGGAAGCCCGGA